TCGTATTTTATAAAATTCTGTGTTCAAGTGTTAGACGCCGGAAATCTTTTTTATATATAATTTTTGTATAATTCGATTTTCATTTAATACTAGTAAAGCTATCTCCTATTTTTACGTTCGACATACATTCGGTGGGATATTTTTTTGAACTTTTTAAAATATAGGGGAGAGTCGGATATATCGTACCACTTTTCACTTTAACTCAAATATTTCGACTATGACACGTCTTATACATAATAATTAATACATATGTAAAATAAAGTTTGATATTTTAGCTTCCTAAGGAGAAGAGAACAGATCCTTGCGATTATTCTAACATTGTTAAAAATGCTTTTTTATACAGGCTTGCCATCGGTACGATTTAGCCGACTAGTCGTTTTAATCGTACCACTAAGTCTTTAAATCGTACCATGGGTGTTTAAGTCGTACCACTGAATGAAAGACATTAAAATTCTCAATCAAATTATTTATTTTTAACTGTTAGGTAATTAATAAAACAACATTATTTATATCTTTTAGGTAACAGAAACATAATTTTTAACTCTTAGTTTATATAAAGGAAGTATAAGCTTTCTCAGTAAAATAACATGATTATACTATGATGATAATGAGATCAATCAACATAACTAATAAAAATGAGACAAAAAAACAGTAAACTATAATAATAAAGTAACAGTTAACAAGAACGTATTTGTAATATAATTATTGTGCATATTTCTTAATGGAAACAATCATGACAAATGTCTGGATTCGAAGTACATGTCTCACGTAGCCACCGTTTACAGCGAACGCATTGAATCCAATCATCTTTTGGACCCTTCTTATCGTAGTAAGAACAATTGCACTTTCGACATATATTTTCAAGATAATCATCGCTGTCATCATCATCATCTAGTTCTACAACAAGGGTCTCTCCTAAATCATCGCTACTGGTGATGGAATGAGATCGTTTCCTCTTATAACTTTTGTTTTTGGCCTTGGGTAGTACTTACTATAGGTACTTGCGGTTGATAGTCGGGTAAATCGTACCAGTACAATTTAACCAACTTCAAGTGGTACGATTAAACCAACTAAGGCATTTCTAAAACAAAAGCAAATATCCGCCATAAACTCAAAACTTAGACACGCAACAAAAACACCCAATAATCTAGTAGACAATTGTGGACTAATAAAAAAAACTGAATAACTATAACTTACCTTGATAACGAGTTATCTCCTTACGAAAGTACGACAATATTTATATTAATTCCTACAAAAAATGTTTTTCTTTTATTACTTGCACAGTTGTTAACTCACGTTGATTTAAACTAGTGGGTGAAGAAGGATGGTGGAGGGCCACGATTTGGCGTTGTCAGTGTAGAAAAAAATATTCATTAAATGGGAAATTTAGAAGTGGTACGATTTAAATACTAGTACGATATAACCAACTCTCCCCTAATATTATATAAAGTTAATATTCGTTATTATTCCGTACTGAATGGCTACTTTTATGTATTACGTGTACAAGATTTGTGTATTTGACAAACCATACCAGTCTCTCCACATTCGTGATCCTAAGTTGATAGAATGGTATGATAAATCTTTTGTCATAGAGAAATGAGAAATCATTTGTTTTTATACAAAGTTTAGAATAAATATTTATTTTGAAAAATCAAAAATTCTGTCTATGAATCTGAGAAAAATGTAATGAGATCTCAAAGATTCCTATGTGACCATATTATTCAATCGAATTTAAAATAACGTTTTCAATTTTTATGAACCGTTTACGAATTGTTAAGAATGAGTAATTTTAGACATCATAATTTTCAATGAAAATGATTTTTTTACAAAAAATTGTTATCGGAAAGAATAATTTAGCAAATTCGATAAAAAAAAATTCTTCAATTCACTGTCCTTCAACTGGCCTTTGTTCTTAACGGCGCATACTGTTGTGTATTAACAAACTCTTTTAATTAATTAAAAAACAAGTCATAGAGATTTTTTGTATAATATTATAAATTTCTGTAACATTAAAATAAATTAATGTTCAAACAATTCTATTAAGTATAAAGAAGTTTTTAATCTCCATGTTTTTCAATATCTAAAATATTTACCTAATAAAGTAACTTAAGAAACAAATCAATAAGTATTAGAATTTATAATAAGTATTAGTAAGTAATGTTAATGTCGTAAATTGAAGCCACTTCAAACTTCGCAGTGAATGGAAAATACATAGTAAGAATTAATCATCACCGGATAAGTGCTAGATTAATTAATGATGGTAATTTAAATGAAACTACTATTTTTCGGATATACCTATGTACGTGTACCTTATTTTTGTTAAAAAAACTACATAATCCCGACCTTTCGGAAATCTTCGGTTAATTTTCAGCAACCGCAAGATTCACGCGTATTAAATCCGAAAAATATTAGTTTCATTTAAATAAACCAAACACGGGAACGTCTTAGATCTCATTAAATAATGCTAGTGTTTGGATGAAAATTATCTTTCATTGCAATACCTACTTGTGACTTATTGATCAAAAATGACCGGACTCTTTATATCATTTCTATACCATTAAATATTTCTTTATACCGTTTAAGGAACCATGTTATCAACCTGTCTTTGAGCATCTCACTAAAGTACACGAATGAGTGATTAACTCCAATAATTGCACGTCTCTATGTTCACTGAAGATGAAAGTAAAATTGCCAGCTGTAATTGCTACCTTGATGTAATTATAAATAGAATTTAAAATCCTTTGCAGTAATATAAAATATTCAGACATCCTCGCTTTTTATTACCTCTAGTGTTATTCCTATAATTTTATTTCATTTAATAAATTGTTTATTAACATCAATATTGTATCGTAAATATTCATACACAAAATTATATTTCTTAGAGGTAGTTTATTGTTTCTAAATAGAATTTATCTTTTATCTCCGACTCGTGTGACGCTAAAAAAGGAAAGTTAGGTTTTTAACCTGTATATACATTGTACATATGTGTAAGAATGTTAGCTCTTAACTGGAAAACGGGTTAACCGATTTGGACAAATTGCGCATAGTTAGTTTAGCATTGGTGACGAGTTTGTTTGAAGATAAAAATAAAGTTTAGTGGAGTGAGGAAAACCACGATAGTTTTAAAATATGTATATATTTTTAAACTAAATTTATTATAGAGGTCAAGTAAGATCACCTTCAACAAATTGATTAAATTAAGACGGACACATAAATAAAGAATTGAAAATATTGAAATAAAACAATGTTATGGAAGTTTAAGATAAAATGATTATCTTAAGCAACAATACTCTATAAAATAAACTTCGTGAATGAATCTTAATTATATAAAATCCATTTTGAGCTTAAGTAACTCTACAAGTAAATTGTAAACTCCATTCTTGTGTCCAAACCAAAAAAAACATCCTATCTGTATCAAAGCAGAACCTTTTAAAACAACTTAATAAAAAATATCAATTTATTCCATAAAAGATCAGCAACGTATTTATTTATAGAATAGAAGTTATTTTAAGCGTATCGTCAACTTTATAATTAAGTAAATAGTGTATTTAATTAGAAAAGTGCTATTAAATTTAGTTATTAATCTTTAAGGTAGATCAACTTAACCCACTACACCCGATTATAGTTGTTGAGGGGTTCAAATTATTTGCATTTTTATCCAACCTCGCATAAGAATAAAGTAAATGTTATTGAGGTTTACGAAAAATATCTACCTATAAATTATGTTCAGTATACTGATATATTAAATTTATTTTATAATAACATAACTATCGACATTATTGCGAGTTCAGTTTTGAAATGAAACCTAGCTCAATATTTCTCTACTCATTAACGAAAATGTTACCGCTACGTACAAATTATTGGAGTCTATATAGATTCGCAAAATACATGAGAAGTAACTTAGTAAGGCTGTAAGTAACATCTTCGTCGTAACTAAAATCTATACGAAAAAAATTTGCCAACAAACTGTAATGATATATAGTTATGAAATACGATATATAAAAAACTGACTCATACAATTATATATAGAATATATGTAGGTATATAGAGATCCATGTTTTTTTGAAATCGGTCAAAAAGACGGACTGTTAATTGTATTTATCTGATAACAAATCACACCTGACCAACTCGACTGATAAAATCCTATCGATTTGAGGCTAGCAATTCACTTTTAATGATTTCAATTATTAGTTTGTGCTCATCTTCGATAGAATGACGATAAATATATTGTATTGAATAGACATGTGACATTGTATTAGTAACTTAGCAAGTAAAATGTTTTTATAAATAATAATAAGTAGGTCAGTTCGATCGTTTTGTATCAAAAAATATTTATTTAGGTACATTCCTTTCTATCATTTGCGAAGTATCAGTACAAGTTTTTAGGTTTTGCTTGAGAAACGAATATTATTAAACTACCATGATAAAAAGTTTTATTTAGTTCCATCAAAACATACTAGGTACAACAGTATTGAGTGAATAATTAAATTGTTGAATAATAACCACTTTAATATTGTTTTATAGAACATTATCTTTACCTATTTTAGATATTCATTCACAAGTTGAGAGAAAACAGCTCCTTATTCACCACCAATATATATCGGCTCACTGTTCAAACATCAGTCACTTGGTACAAAACGTTTCACTCAATGATCACCACAAACGAAAAACAAGAGTAACGACTGTATCACATACAAGAACCGCAATATCAAGCTCCTTTCACTTGAACACCTCACTCCAAAATACGCCTAACCTGGCATGATTATTGCAACTTCACACAATTCTCAGCCGTCGGTCGTCTAGATTTCGATGACAACCGAATCTGAGCTTCACAAAGATCAGACAATTGGCGCGATTCAAGACAGTCTCAGATGTGATACATATTGATATAAATAAAGGTTTCTGTCATGCGGTTTGTTTACAGAAGCTAGATATATAATACAACGAGAACGAGATGCTCGTCGGCCGGCGACCGGCTGCCTAGTGGCGTACGAATACACCTACGCGTTATAACGAAGAACCCTCTCCTGGCAAACGAGCGCGATGCTCGCCTCGCGCCACGACTCACTGCACTTACGACGATTTACAACTACAACTCTAGATTTCCCCCGAAGCGTTCCGAAACAAGCCGACGCGGGTCCGGTTACCGCCAAATCGTGTTTTCCTTTACGCCACGCCGCTGTTCGCTCCGACTGACAGAGATAGCGAAGAGAAACTAGAAATGTTGGATAGTGAATTTTCATAATTGCATGCAATCAAATGTCACGTCTTTATTAGTATTTCTTATATAATTCCATTAATAAAATTCTAAATACAATAAACAATTATCTGTATTTTTTTGCCTCAGTGACCGAGATGGCATAAAATCGAAATAAATCATACATATTTTATTGTTTTATTTCTTCGTTGGAATAATCGAGAGTTGATAATTAATACGATAATGGTTGTGTTGTTTTAAAATATTAATATATTTGCTTGAAATGAGTCATCATAAATAATATTTGTAGTATATTCACAACTTTCAGATAAGCATTTCAATGGAGCGGTGTTGAATTACAATGGTGTGAAATGACACGTACTATTAAGGCATTATATTGTGTTAGTCAGCAGCCAGCATATTGTGTTAGTCCTTCTTAAGAATTTGTTTCTTTGAACTAAATGCTTATTCAACGATTTTAGGCTTGTAAAATATTATGTGACTAAAATTACTCTACTATTTTACCGATCTCATTTCGAAATTTAAATTGAAATAAAATATAATTGATATATAACCTACTTAGTTATATCCTCATACAACATAGACTATACATAATATACACGAAATATGTCCAGTTATTTGCACCTAACTTAATACACACATAGACAAAAAACTTTCGCATTTTTGCTAGTGGCGTGATATTAATAAATAATATGAGTTGTATAATAGTTGTTTACTTATAAACTGCTAGTCCTATTGATAGCAGCTGGAGTAGTGGAATTTTCTTCTCATTATGCTATAGTCACAGAATTTTAATAATAATTTATAGGCCAATAAATTAATATTTCACACCATGATGTTTTGAACTTTAAATTAATCACATTAGAAAAAACCCATATTTGGTCGCTTATAGTATATGACAAAAAAATATTTATCAAATATCTTTTAAAAGGTCAAAATAAAAACAATATTATTTTAAGATTTGTTTTGCACGTAATACTGATATTGAAATAAACACTAGGTATTAAATTTTTTCCAGAATTTTATTAAAAGAATCTATTTATAAATCATGTTGAAGAAAATATTACATATATGTACGAAATTATTTATTAATATTGACCAGATAAAAACAATTTCCGAGATAATAATATAAAACATGGAATGTACTACAAATCGATAACACCAACGAAAACTCCTTGAAATCGTTGATAAGAATACACAAGAAGATCACAAACATAATTATTAAAAACATAACTAATAAGTTAAAAATAATACATTCGTATTTAAAGCGAGACCTACTTTTATGTATAAATTTTGTAAACGCGAAAGTAACATTCCGCCTGGTTTACGGATCACGTCTCAGAGGTAATTGGCTTTTATAATATGAAAGGAAAATTATGATAACGATTTAATGCTTCTATTGTTCATTTAATATTAATCGTGTCCTTACAATCATACTTTTGATGTAAAAATACAATTAAAATTACACAAATGGATATGAAAATTATTGAAATGAACCAACATATGATATATCATTTTAAATTTTATTCTTTTATAGTACACATATATATATATATGTGTGTGTGTTAGTAATAAATGAAATATTTAATTTACGTCAAATACGTATAACACTTTTTCTTTGTCTAAATATTTTTTACAAAGCACTTTGCTTCTAAAAACATTTTATACAATTACAATTTAATACAACCTACTTTTTCATTTCGTAATAAGCATAAAATGAAATATGCTTATATTAAATAATACATAACAAGACACAATATGTTAACTCATTTAATAAAACTGTTAAATGGTTTATAAAAAACGGTAAATTTCTAAAGTAACTATAGATGTTTTTCCTTATAAATGTTTTATGAAATATACTGTATACATAATAAATGTACAATTTTTTTTGTCACTCATGTCGTAATAATTAATTACAATAAATAAAAAGTTTGGTAATACACGATTCCGGTTTGATAGCTTCTGACCCGTGGCGTATCGTGGAGTAAGGAGCGGACGAGATAGAATGCAATCATTTGTATCCTGGTTTTATCTTATCTGTGTCTATGAGCTCATATAGAATAAAAATATTTATATTTTTTAATATTTAGATTTATATATCCATTGTTTTATGGTTGTGAATCCTTTAATAGTGCGATCCATACTGCTTTGTAAAGAGTTGATATATATGTCTATATTTTCTGTCTATTTTTGTTGGCATTGCCAGTTATGTATAATTCGTACTTTTCATAGAAGTAAACGACAAACAAGTGAGTATTAATATTCGGACCTAAAATTATGAATTATTAACCACTTTTTTACTTTGTAAATGTATATACATAGAATAGAAAAAAATTGTCACAAAACATTATTTTTGTCAATTGCAACAATCCGATAAGTTAACTTGATTTGATGAAGTAATTTAAAAGTATGTATTTGTAGAAACTATGATAATACCGATCGATGTTAAGCAAAAAAAAGTTCCGTCAAATATTATATTAATCACGTAATATGTCCGAAAGCCAAAATCTAGTAATGTTTTTCACGAAAATTTTCGTTGTCGCCATATTCAAAACTAATAATTGCTTTAATCCTAACTTATTATATAGTGTAGTAATCATTAGCCGTTTAAATTTTATAAATACCACTGGTATACAAATTTAAGCAATATGTCTACGAATAGATTTCTTTGGGAACTTTACATAAATTATGTAAATACAATTTTATTAATTTTAATACATATTATAACAAATCACGGAAATTTTTATTTGTTCTCAAACGTATATGCTAAAATGTAGTGTTACAAAATAAATTCAAATCTTATAATAAAAACTTCAATATTCATTTGTTATCAAAATATTATGTTCGATATTCAAAATCTGGAGAAACGCCAAAAACGTCCAAATTAATAGGAACATACAAAAATCGGTCTCGTTTATATCATATTTACATCTTATGTTTGATAGAATTGAAAATAAGATTATAAAATCGGATTTATTTATCAAATGTCACTGCATTTGTTAATACATCAATAATCTTAATTATAATAATATTAATATCTTATTTAGTTATTAGAAAATCTAGAACATTCCCAATTCTAACCGACCCAAAATTTATTTGTTAATAATCAGGCAATGAAACCAGATATAAATCTATCCACGAGTAAAGAGGTTTAAACAAATTAAAATAAGGAATATTTAATGTGGATTTTTTTTTCGTGTCCCACAGAAAAAAAAGATAACCAAATACAATAATAGATCTCATTAGAATAATTTAATGGTTTATTCTAATGAGATCTATTATTGTATTTGGTTAAAACTAAGTTTTATACAAAGTTATAAAACAAATATTCTCTCATTATTGTTATTCTTTGAATGTGTACACAATTTTTTTTTGCATATTATTCACGCTAAGTACATAACTGTTTGTTTCATAAATTAAAATTTTTCACTGTAAGCAAAACCGAATAATACGATTTGCCGACATATACAAAGACAGTAATCTTGCTTACTCTGATATTTTTCAAGTAAATCATGCAACCCAATATGAGTTACGCTTTTCTGAGTAAACATACCTCATTGAATAATTAATTTTATTACATAAATATTAAACGTATCTCAAATACTCCGATTTCATGTGACTTTACTTCTACTTGTTTTTGTTTTATTATTAACACTTTAATAAGAGATGATGTTTTAAAATAATATGTCAGAAGCTTTATATTTATTGCCACTTGACAGGTCTTACGTAGGTATCTAGTGAGTGCAAAAAATTGATTGGCAACATTAATGATTCCCAGTTGTATGTAAAATTCCGTTAGACTATATTACTGTTATGTTTTGATATGTTTGCGTATATGAATTGATACACAGACATACATACATAGATTGTCATGAACACGTTTATTTCAATGTATTTATGATTACTCACTTTTTGTTTTCGCTGATTCAGGATTACATAAGCACGTATGCTGATTCCTGCAGTAGCTCGAACGTTACCAGATATCCTCATAAACCTGATTTCAACACTTCAACACTTATTTGATTGCAACACATCATAAGAAAAACACATACACTGGAACGGCCTACAAGTTAACACTCAGTTAACCGCTTTCGCTCGGTTTGTGCAAACATATTAAGATGTTGTGCGATTTCGCGAAGCACTTTTCTTTAATAACTCGATTGTAGCCATTAGCGGGACGGTGATTGTTGAGTATCATGCGCATACGCACGGCGCGTGGGTATTTAGCGATAGAGTGTTGGGGTGAGGACGAGCGGCACCCAGCTGGTCCGATAGTCGACTGGTCGATGGTCGACTGTCGAGTTGTGTCGTACTCACACCACCAAGCACCAACTGGTCGGATGTTCATAGCGCGCGACCCACTCAGATACATGCCCCAGAAATGAACATTTTTCAAACACCTGTAACACTTTCGCCATCGGACGCTCCACTTCATAACTAGACTTGATTCATTGATGTAACTGTAAAGAATCACAGCTTCCTATTTATTATTTTACATAATACATATGTATGTTGTATATAATGATTATTTTTCGATTGGTAATTCATTTTAATACACAATATTATACGAGATAAGTATGGACTATAAACAGGTTAGACCCAATTAGGAGGGTAATGTAAAACTGGGTTTAACTCAAACCGGACATATTTATGTCTGACGAGCAATTTTAGGGTTTAATTTGACAAGATTTTTTAGCGTCCACATCATTTAGAGACAATTTTTTTTACATATTTTTCTAAAAAAAAATATTATCTGCCAACAGCTAAATTGCCAAATAATAACATATGAAAAATACTTAAGTTAACAACACCCTGACATCGTAATTATATAAGGTTATGATTTTGACCTTTCAAGTGTTAAAAGGCCCACTCCTGAGTATTTGTAACTTCAATTCATTCCTAAGATAAAAGGCCCTTACAAAAGGATCCTTTAAGGATATATCCTATCCTTTGTTATTGTTGATTCTGATACGGAACTTTAAACATTTAAGTCTGTGTTTTTATGTAGTATTTATTTAAAAGAAATGGAAAGTAAAATAATTGGTAGGAATATATTTTGCTTTATCTTTACGCTTTGTTAATTATATTTTTTACTTAATTCATATACATCCAGTAAGAAGGTTTTTACGGAAATTTAAAAGTGTATACAATTTAAAATACAATATACAAGGTGACTGGTGAATTACTATCGATATTTGAGGACGTGATATTTGACGATCATATATGACAAAATAAAAATTAATATAACATAAATATTAATAAACTTCTAAGTAAAGTTAACCAAAAGTTATGTAATTAATTACGCATCGCGTGAACACCCTACAGATTAGGTATACACACACACACATATACGCGTGCGGCGGCGTGGTGTTGTATCAGCACGCCGCCGCACGCGTCCACAGTTGGAACACTTGGAACGTGTCCACACTTTATTTATTTATACGGAAATTTTGTCAAAAATTAAGTACCTACTTAGAATCATGTACCGAGTATTCTCCTTAAATATTGATAGTAATTCACCAGTCACCCTGTATGTTCGTATTTTTTTATAATTTCTGTAGTGTGACAAGTGATATTTTAATATGTTAAGTATACCTATATAATTATACATACAACACATTATGAAAATTAAAATCTCAGGTAAAGAAAACTATTATGTACCTTCGATTGTATTGAAATGACGATAATATTATAACCGGTGTTACAACCACATTAACAAACGGAGTTATGTTAACAATCTTTTAGGTTTTCATATATTTTCCTACCTTATTTAATTTCAAAAACACATAAATATTATAAACAATTCTTGCTAACAATAAAAGATTAGAAATTTTCAAAACTGTTATTCTAATTTATAACAGTAATGGACTAACTTAATGTCAACATATTGCAACTTCCTTTTTTAAAAGTTGATTTACATGACACAAATTATTTTGTATTTTTTTTTAGTATAAAATGATACTGACCTTCAATTGTTACTATACTTGCTAGTTTTTTGTTGATTTAAAAAAATATGTTTGTAAAGTATAAAACACAGTAGAATAATATTTACATTATATATACCAAACGCGTTTTGGGATAGATTTAATTTTTTCAAAGATTTTATTAAAAACATTAATGAATAGCACCTATTTTATCATACTTAATGAAGTATGATAAAATAGGTGCTATATTATTTTACTGCCTTTTAGTGTCCTTATACTTAAAGCAGTCAAAATCGTTTTAGGCTATTTAAAGGTGCTTTGCTTTAGTCACTTAGCCAACCATTTTGGTTTATAAGAATGTTTTACAAGTGAGTTTCTTGCACAGACATAATTGGACATTAATTAGTAACTAAGTTAGATTTCTTGTAAATTTGTTCAATGAATATATATTTTTATATGATTCACGGAATTCATTAGTCATTTCTTACAAGATACAGCTAACTATATTTGTAAATTTATGTCATGTAATTTTTTTATACCAAGTTGTTCTTTTCCTTTACAAACTTTAAACTAGAATCTCAAGACGACGAAATCAGATAACCAAAAAGTGGGCAATAGACGTATCAAGTAATATATTGGTTATCACAGACATGCAGAGATATTTCAAACAAAAACCAAAGGATCTCTATCAACAGCTCATGTTTGACCAACTAAGATTTGTGAACGGCATTACAATTTTCAGAATTATAATGTCTATTAAGAAAATGAATTAATAAAACAATCCAATATAAAGAACGTGTATTTTGATGAACATCCACAAACAGAAATAATGAAAAACTAGAAAAAAATTTTGTAAATATGTAGTTTAATATAATATAATAATAAGTTAGGTAATCGTCTATCGGTTAGAATATATTTTTAAGTAGGAAGTTACACAAAACAAACATACAAGTGCCATAGAGCACTAGTTTAGTGACTAAGAATATAAATGGTACACGGTCGGTGATTGCAAGCCGTTGAAGCCGCCATATTTGCTGTGGCACCTTTCACTTTACTCTTACTCCAAGTCGGGGTGTCCTGCGACATGCGATAGATAAACGAAAAATTTTGACGTCGTAACAATAGTATTAACAAATGCGTTAAATCAAGGAAGAGTATAATGGAAATCGTACCCGTCAGCTTCAAGAAAGTAAAAAGATGATAGAAAATTATTATGTAGATGGCGAGATTATGATAATTTATGATAATGTTATCATGGCAAATAAATAAACATTCAAGAATTGCTTCTAGTTTAGGCAAGTTGTGTGTATTATTTAAGACCCTTTTTATATTATTCTTTATTCTTATACATACAGAAAAGAGGAAGTTACTTTGGCCGAAAATCGCGCCATTACTTACTAATTGTAGCTCAAAAGTTTGTATTGGACATTTAATCATTCAAAATTTTTTTTCACACCAATTTTTTCAATCTCCGTTAGTTGTTAAATCCAAAACTTAGAAGCTACAGTACAAGATAATGTAATTGACACTAGAACTCCTTATGAGAAATAACCTTTAACAATTACCTATAGGAATATTACTTGAATACATTTCGTTCAATTTATAACTTAATAAAATTTTATATAGTTTATAATTGAAATTAACATTTAATTGATCTGATTCATAATACGATAAAACTGTATTTTCTTTCGAAACACAAGTTTAATGTTCTTTAAGCATTAAAGTGTGAGTGTAAACTGAAAATATATTAAGATTAAAATGTGTGATAGTCGACAAAATATCAGATGACTTTCATTTTACTTATCTTTATGTACATCAGCTACTGCACAATCATGAAATAATAATATACTATTACATGCATGAATAAAGAAACTTTCCCATTTAAAATAACTATATTTTTTCAGTTCTACGTGCATTAGTTATTTTTACTGCTTTAAGTTTTCCATTAATTAGTCTTTACATCTAAAATCCTAGTCTGAATTTTATATTCTAGTAGAATAACATAGGGATTTCGTTGTAATGAGTTTTAAAATTAAAGAACACGAAAGTTAAAGAAACAACTTAAACTAAAGTTAGATCTAGTTTTATGTCCTAAGATGTGTCTTTTAATCTAAACCATTTATTTATTCCGACATATCTTTTTATCATTAACAATTTAATTTACTATAACACAATAGTCAACATCATTATTTCATTATTGTTATTGTCGATGTTTATGTAAAACAGATGTTACATTGATATATGAAAAAACCGTGAAAAAACTATTATTTTTATACACTTTATTATAATTCTTAAAAAACTTGCATTTAAAGAAATTGCGTCAAGAGAACCATGACCTGAAATATTTTGTATATAAAATATAATAAATTAAACTGCTTTCTACTAGTTGATTGTAAAAAGAAGATTATAAGAATTTCAAGAAAAAATTCGAAGTAACTTTCCTAAATTAATACTAAATATAATAAGAATAAAACTTTGATATTCATTTAATATAAAGATTAATGTATTATTTATTAACATTAGTAAAGAAAATCCCCAACTCTGTTAGAACCTTAGAATTACAAGAAAACCGTCGCGCGTATCTTTTGTCACGGCCGTTAACTATATATTAATAGTAAACAGGCAATTAAGTAACTTGATATTAATCTTTACACAGTCCTGCGGTTTTCCTGACGGGTAAATGTCCTTGTTTTTTTAATGGTCATTATATTTACTGTCTAACATTACGACGTATAATTCAAGTAATATGTGTATGTACGTACCTATATATTATCTTTATAACAAAAAATGTGTTCATGAAGCGGAAACATTTAAGGAATTCGTTTATTGAAACAGGATGACAAAGGAATTTTTACTATTCCTTCTTACCAAAAATTCTCAAGATATTTAATAAAAGTAAAGAAATAAAATCTTCAATATCTGTTGAAAATTAATAACTTTAATTTGACAAAATTATTAATTAAAGAACCGAAAATTTTGTGCAAAAATACTAATAAGAATATAAAATAAGCTTCATCGGCTCTTGTCGATATAGTAGCCTGTCTCTTTTCAGGAAATATATTTGTATTAGGAATTACATGTACGTACTTATAATTCAGAGGCTTTTCGTTGGAATTGTACATCCTTAAAACTTACGGGCCAAAGAAAAAAACGAGAGCAAGTTTATGTATCGTGTTTAAATTTTTTATAAATAAATTTGTATTATTCCATTTGCACTGTTTTTTTTCAGTATGTAAGCTCTCAAACCCACCCGAAACTAACTCAGATAAGAAAATAATCTTAGTAAAAACCAATGTAAAAACACTTTGGCCGGCCAGGCTCCACCATTACTTTAATTTTTCCATAAAAACTTTAATAGATATAACATACTCATAAAACATGTGACTAATTTCACAAAAAAATAGAAGTAACCTTCAAATAAGTAATAAACGCGTTTTATCTCAGAATTAAGTTCTCTAAGAAATTAAAACAAATCAATTAAATGTGACACTTCCATATATTTTACAACATGCAACCTGATTGACGTCATTGGACTTTCCGTGAAGGAGACTTTAGGACTTGTTCGGGACTGGAAATGTTTCTGATAAATAATTTTATTTATGATTATTTGTTTTTGAGATATTTTTTTTATCTCTATGGAATGACGTCTAAGCGATTTTTCATTCCGAAATTTTATATTAGTTCGTGCATAGTTTATAATAAATATGCATTGTAATAAAGATCATGATATTTTTATGCTAGATTACTCGGAAGGTGCAGGTATTAAAAAATGTATAACTTATATTTTTATAAAGTAATTTATTTTTCTTAATTTAATTTAAATTTTCCCTATAAGGGAAAGCTGTAGAATTTGAACTCTTAGTTACTTTAAGTTTTTTAAATTAATATTACTATTAATTAATGTAAACACCTATTACTTTAGCATTGTATGGTAATTCTAAGTTTGCATCGTGACACTACATACATACTACATACGGCGAGATAACAATTCATGCTTTAATGTATTAATGTAGGTTTTTAACTGAGAAACGAGAATGCTGACCGTGAAACTTACGAGATACTTCTCGGTATTCCATGGATTAACGGGTGCCGGGTCCATCGCGTTGCAGGGAGAGGAGCTTCAACAGTGCCTGGGACTTGCGACCCAGGTGTAGGTTTAAGGGTCCCTTATCTAACGCGTTTTAAACGCTCACCCCCACTGTTTTTGCTCCGCTCTCTACTAAACCAAATTTGAATAGAACCTTCGAAGTACTTTCCAAGAATGAATGGTTGTTAGTTCCGAATATGCCCAGGTCTTTTAGTAGATTCTGGTAAGATTTAGCTCTCGTTTCCACTTCCACCGCGTAGGTATAGATCTACGACAAACCTATTAATAGTGAGTTAATTACTGAGTTCGTAATACTTATTGACCTTGATGACATGGTCTTTAGAGTTTTTGGCTTCCCAAGGTAACGTAAGCCCTAAAATTCGCGAATAGTTAATGTCTGGTCTGGGGCCGGCGCATAAATATCCTCTGGGACTTTTTGTTGTTTCTCATACTTATCCATTATATTAGTCCCAGTCCAAAGCCCCTTTAAGGATAGAGTAGGCTTGATGTTTGATTTTATAGAAATAGTGCCTTCCCTCAGACCCGTGGCTAAAGCTGGGAGGATGCCAGGAAGAAGAACAAGAAGTGCCTTCCCTCACAAAACCTACTGATCGCTCATTTGTGGTTATTTCCCTTTGAGTTCTCGCTAATTAAAGATTTACCGCGTATTAGTATCAGATTTACATACGCTAACCTAAACACGTTAAATTTTAAGTTTTTGCAAATAAGTTTAAAAATCTAGTTCAATAAATGAATAAATACATTCATGCATAAAATAAACAATATCTCATATACCGTTATAAAAACATTTTACCATGTAAAATTGTGATATATATATCATTCATTCGTGCTTCACTTCGATAAAGCTCAAGAGCGAATCAAAAGCAAACATTATTGCTTTCGTCAAAGTATTTCAAGCGGAAACTTCAATGAAAATACTTTCAAGAATTCCCATAATGTTTCTAACTGATTAATAACATGGGCTAAAAAGGTCTCTATAAAAAAACAGAAACAATTTGCGATAAATTGTATAAGACATGCGACATTCGGCCTTGCCCTTTCTAACAGCGGTATTGTTAGGATAAGTGGTGGCCTGCAGACTGGAGTAATGAGCTTGGATTATATTAAACGACCCCATGATGACTTAATCGCTTCAAATATATTAGTACTTTATTTGAAAAAAATATATTGGACTTTATCGTAGTACAATCAGGTTGAAGAGTTCATTGATTGCGATTATTTTCTACTAATATTTTAGTACTATTACGTTGTATTTATATATTCTTCTTATTTATATCATTGTAAATATAATTTTATAGTAACACGTGTGAAATGTATGAAAAATTACTAGAATCTTAAAATCCGCCCACTGTTTCAATGACGCGTAACGAACAGAAGTACTCATTACAAAAATAAAAACTGTATGTAATATGAAAACTCACTGTACGTTTATGAAGTCATAGATATACAAAAATTTCATTAAAATTTTTCTCTTGTTAAGTTTTTTGTATATATTAAATTAAACTTCTATTTATATAGAAATCAAAACAAATATATATTTATGTAAGGCTATATTATTCATTTTTTTTATATAAATATGTTTTATTGTCTTATTTATGTTATCATAATGATTTATTTGGCTTCATAAACAATACTCATTAACGTACAGTACGTGGAATGTATTTATTAAAGGGTAAATGAAACATACGTTCAGAAATAATATTTATTTAAGTTACAGATGGCTGATCGCGTATTAATATTGTACAAAAATATCGTACAAACGAAACACAAAAAAAAACTGAACACTAAATTCATACATAGTCACATTTAATATAATAGAAAAAATAATAATTGAATTGATTAAATTAATCAATAATATTTACAAACACAGATAATCATTAACATTATATCACATAGATAATAAATCGAGTGTGGCTGAATGTTATATTTTTAATTTTTATTATCATTTAATACAAATGCATGGTTTTTTAAATTATTGGTTACATTAAATTCAGTCGTATGATTAAACAATGGAACAACTTAACATACAAACTGTTTCACTAGTCCGAGTTCTGTTTACCACAAGTTTGACACTACATACGACGAGTTAAGAGTTTCTCATACATATTAAACGATGAGAAACTTTGTAAGCGGTGTGACGATACATTTGTGGTAAGCGTAATATGAAACTGAATACTGTGAGTGTTTAATATTACTATCAGTTTCTCGTAAAAACTCGTACTAGCAACAGTTAACATTAAAGCTTCTGATTTACGATCTTAAACTCGGAATTAAGGAATGTAAGTACATACACAGTTGTTGCTTAATTATTTAAAGGAATATTTACATTTTCATTAATAATATAGCTCAATATTCGCGTTATTTTAATATTATGAGAACGGATCTTATAAAAAATATATTTGTCTTCATTCATAACTCATCTGTTTCATTTAAACGTTATTCTGTTTACAGATTGCTTTTATTGCAAGATTTATTATATATAAAAAAGTGAATTATGACAGAATCAGTTATATTTTTGAACAGAAAAATTATTAAATATTTGTTCGAGTATATCACATGAATAATATATTTAAAAATAAACATAACATATTGTAAACATGATCAGATTTTACTATTACAAATTTAATATGTAGTGACAAATTTCAATTGCGTATTAATTCTTGTTACGTCAAATGCTTGTGATTATAAAGTGGGTTAAGCCATTTTAATTAAAGCCTTGAGTATTCAGATTTATAGACCACAAGAATACAAATAAAGGAAATACACTTTACAGTATATATTAAAGTAAGACAAAATAACATTTAGTTGTTGCTTGATAATTCTAAGAAATTTATTTTAAAAACAGTATTTTATTTAATATGATTGTACAGGGGAATTCCGTTTTAGTAACCTTTATCTAATTCCAAGATTATTTTCTAACGTATTTACTCGTGTACATGACATGATTCGCCTTATGACGTGTGACGTTAATGTCATGTACAGAATGACGTTACGGTTGACATCACGTATAACGTGTCAATGTCAGAAGTATTAATCAAATTATTTAAAACAATTAGTTTAGTTGCAAGTAACATTGTAGTGTTGTTAGTAATGGAATATTTTGAATATGTATTTATATGTAAATGACTCGTATGCAACCTTCTAGAACGAGTCAGCGATAAAATGACTTTTAAATTAAGTTTTAGGCTTTAAGTAAGTTTAATCATATTATAAGATCCGTTCTCATATATATTTTTGCATTTTCGTTACATATATCGGCTTAAACTACACCAAATTCTATAAACGCTTGACGATTCATGAAATATAATACAAAAAAGAGACAATTTCATACAATTACTTATCCATTAATAGAGCGAATATAAGTTTTTATTTTTATATTCTATCGTGATTAAGTAATACAAATAAATACAGTGATCATAACCTCATTCCCACATATAGGCACTGGACGCAAAAAAATATTCTTAACATAATAATATCTGTTTGAATGTGTGTATATTTGGAAGTAATTTATCATAAGACGCTGTTACTTAGAACAAAATTACAAAAGGTAGTTCGCACATTATAGCGCACACTGAAATGTACTTGGATTTCTTCATAATTTTTTTTAAGGTTTTAGTTACCTCATGATATGATTTTTAACTACATTAGTACAAAGTGGAGTGGTACAACTACTTAATGCTACTCATGTATACATTTTATAGTACAAATTGGAATAAACCAACTATTAATACCTACCACGGATATTAGATATGGTACAAAGTGGAATGGATCAACTATGATTTGCTTCACTAAGTATCATTATATAGTACAATGTGGAATGGACTCTTCATAAAATATGTATACAACAGGTACCAATTGGAATGGACCTACATATCAAACTTACTGATGGTACGACATTTTAGGTACGTAGTGGAATACACCAAGTAATAATACCTAACACGTATACTAGATATGGTACAAAGTGGAATGGACCTACATATCAAGTACTAAAGGTGCGATATTATAGGCACGTAGTGGAATAGACCCATTATATAATATCCACCAAAGTTAATAGTGTGAACTCACAGTATAATTCCTATGAAGTGATGGTAACAGTCGTGGTCAGTGGTAGTGTGATAGTTTCCCAGGTCGACGTGGAGGTACGCTCTCGTATTCGTAGCAGTTTGACTGAGGCCGGACTGACTCCTTGCACGACCGCTGGGAATTGTATCCGCCTCTACGACTGAACATACACACACATATATAATATACATAGAATTGTTACTTACGATTATAAGAATGTAGTAAGCATCTAATTGAATTACTAATTATTAATATAAGCAATTAACGGTGTCTTTACTTTGTGTGAAACAAATGCCTAGAATACAATTTCTAGTAATTAAGATAGCTTACAGTATAAAAACACTAATAAATAAAGTTCGTAATATAAAGCTTATTAAAGTATATGCGTTACCAACATCCAAATAGCAGGTTTTAAATTTATCTATCTGTTTGTTTCGCCTAATCTCCAGAACGGCTGGATTAATTTTGACAGGAATTTTACTCGTTGATAGATAATATCATAAGAAGTAACACAAAAGACTATATAACCTACTTTCAAAAGGAGGAATTTCAATTTAATAATATGTTACTTATTCTATTACTTCTATTATACAATTAAAGGCAATTTTCAAAATTACTCTTACAAATCAAAAGGTCAATGTCCTGAGCTCGTTTGATAGTCACCAATTTCTCGAGAAGTTGAATAAAACCTTATAAGGATGACAGAGTGTATCTCAGAGGGAATTTAAAGTGTGAGCAAACCGGAGGCAAAAGCTAGTATGTAATAAATAATTTTGTTGTAATTTAAGACAAAGTATGGTAGTACTTATAAGCAAAACGCCCAATATTGAAAGCCTTGATGTTAGAAGTTTAAATATATAAAAGCAAGTATATAATTAATTTATTTCTTTATTCACCATATATTTATCTTCTAATTTGAATCGATTGACGTATTTAAAACACCTATACTGTAAAGTTATAAATGTCTTTGACGTCATATTTCAAGGAATAAACAATTTATAGCTTTTTTCTTTTGTTCATCTAACGTCATGGAGTCGAGACTTGTTTTGATGGGTTCGTTCTTATAAGTGTTTAATTTGATAAAATAATATATGTTATATGTATATATTATATACTTAGTGTCAGTCAAACAATTCTAATAGAAAAGTATAGCTCAGTACAGTTATCGATATTTTCTAATATAATGATTATATGAATTTAGATCATAAATACTATACATATAACATGTGTACTATATTATATATTATTTAAATGAAACTAATATGTTTTAATTATACTACGCTTGCTTTTTTTTATAAAAAACTACATTATCCCGACGTTTCTGTTACTTTTCAGCAACTATGATCTCGAGTAGAAAAGACGAGATGTAGTATATCCGAAAAGTATTAGTTTCATTTAAATGAATAAAACACGCGAAAGTCTTCAATCTCATTATTGTATATGTGCTTCAAAATAAAAATGTTATTAAATGACTATGTGTAAATATATTTTTAATAATTATTTAGCGTACAAGCCATCTGTGTGTAGCTCCTTACCGGTTCCATTGAGAAGCAGGAAAAAAACCTTTAAAATTACTCTTAACAGCTAATAAATATATGGATTGATCGGATTAATACATTAATTGGACAAACATTTAAATTGAATTATAATAATGGATGTATTTTTAATTTATAGCTTATTATAATGCAACAAATGCTATAGGGATTTAATTCAAAAGAAGATAATGAATTATCATAATTAATTATAATTGAATTTAAATTCAACTGTCATAAAATTATGGATGTATGTCTATCTGTCATTCATAAGCTACTTAACTGATTTGAAGATAATTTAATAATACATTAGAGTATTAAATTACAAAATGTGTACAATAATGATAGTTTAAAGTGATGTTGGTCACGATCGTGTTCAGGGGAATCCCCCGGACGATGTCTATTGTTATATGACACGACATTTTTCTATAGAACCAGTTATATTTTTTATGAATTATTATAATATTTTATCGTATTCTATTTATCTTTTTTTATTCTGCTAATATGAGATAGATTTTAAAGCAAGTTTCATATATTATGCTTACTACAATATTGCATCGCCAAACTAATTACGAGCCGTTTGACGTTTCTCAATAAAAACTATGTCAAAACTACATTAAAATTCGGTATAAATATAGTGTGACGATACAAATTGTATGCTACATACTATGTGAATCAGTTTTATTATTTTTAATATTAATATATTAAACAAGTTGTGGTGGCCTAGTGGTTAAACTCCGCTTCTCATGCTTGAGAGTGCAGGTTTGAAACCTGGCAAGTACCAATTTTTTTTTTTCGATAGGCTAACGGTCATATTAACACAGGTTTTTGAATAAGAAACAGAAAAAGCTTCATATATAGGTTAACGATTCAAAGTTAAAAGTAACAGAACTAATGGTAAACATACACTAGATGCAGGTTCAATTCCCGTTTGTTACTATGATTTTTTCATAATTTATTTCCCTTTATTATAATTCAGCTTTATAAGGCTTACATATATTTGTGTTTCGACTAGTGGGAACATGAATTATACTATATTTATATATAGTTTAGTCTGAGAGTATTTATTTAGTAGGTATTTTTATATATTTTTTTAATATATTATATATTTTATTCTTATAACATACTATTATGTTCTGCACGTGATCAATTATATGTGACTTCTTATATACACGAGTTAGTATATAATTGTTCTAAAATAATTATTGTATTTTCAAATGACATTTATATTTCTGTAGCACGCGATTGTAGAATTGTTTTGTATACTGTCAATTGAGAATAAATATATGTGTACTTTTAATGAAAAATTATTATTAAACTGTTTTTTTGTAACAGTTCTACTGTTTAATATCAAAATAATAGACAATAGATAAATATTTTATATAAATTATATATAATAAATAAAATGTTTGAAGTTTGAAGTATATAGGATCAAAGTTGATCATTGAGTGAATTAAGGTCTCGTTCACACGGAGGGTGTCAGTAGATGTCGCTTGTGTGTATGAGTCCTAATATCCTTAATTCTGTATATAATATACATTTAGTATATATTGTTATATATATTCACCTGTCTCTATCCCTATGTGCTGATCGTCTGGCTTGTCCCAACTGCACTTCGCTGAGTTTTTCACGACGAGCACTATAACATAAACAATACAAATTTAATATAATATTATAAATATACAGGTTTTTTCGTTTGGTATAGTAAACTCATGAAACAAAGCTTTATAATAAGGGAACTAAAAATTTCTAATAAATAAATTTCTAAATTTTTATAGTATATTGTTTCTTATATGTATAAAGTGACTCACTTTAGCGTTTGTTGTATTTCTTCGTAGTTCACATAATGTCCGGTCGGACCCCACGCGTCGTTCATCGGCTGAAACAATACATTAGTGGTCACTATAGATACACTAGTACCTAGTTTAGTTAGAAAATAAAACCCAAATATTATCTTAAAAGATAACCTTTACGATATTCTATTATAATCTATGTTCGTAAACACTAAATATTTATATTATCGTGAAGTTTCATTCAAATCAATTCATTAGTTTTACGTTAAAGAGTAACAAACATACATACATCTCCGTAAACTTCATCTTTTATTATATTATTGAAGTGAAACTTATGCGACTTTCAACAAGGTTGTGTTAAACGAGAAAGCGAGAGGGAATGCGTGGCGCTCGAACGTATGCTTCAAACAATTGTGACTTTTAAATAATTTTAATAAAGTTTGTCTTAAATAAATGCCAAAAATTCCTCAATAATCGCACCTGTTTTTATTCTAACTTTACGAAGTTTCACTTCTTCCGCGCGGAGAGCCTCCACTCACAATTATAATATATTATTATATATAAAATTCTGTGAGCATATCGAGTAGGTCTGAGAATCGGCGAACATCTATTTTTCATACCCCTAAGTCATACGGGTTTTTCACCATTATTTTTTTATTTTTGGATGAATTTTTTGTTTTTTATAATGTGGCATGAAAAATACATATGTAGTTACAACCCAAAATTTTTACTTTTTTATCAGCAACCTATATTTTTTGATATGGCAAAACAACGTTTGCCGGGGCAGCTAGTATATATTTTTTTTTATTTTTTTTTTATATAATAATAATTATATATTATAAGTATGTCAGTATATACCGGTGGTTCGTGTGTGTGTGAGGGTGCCGTCCTGCCTGTGGATCGTCTCTCGCCGCTGCTCTGACGACTGTGACGCGAACGATCGTCTCTGATGACATTAAAATGAACCTTATATACAAATATATAAAAGAGATTTTCCTGTATTTATGTAGAACAAAATATATAGGACTAATAATGGTATATTAGAGCAGTAGCTCAATCAGTGATGGCCTAGTGGTTAAAAGGCCCGCCTCTCATGCACGAGGGCGCGGGTTCGAGCCTGACCCTGGCAAGTACCAATGTGATTTTTCCGAGTCATATGTACTTTCTAAGAGTATTTAGATAACACTGATTAATGCATTCCCAAAGAGGGTTGATGTCAGGCAGGCGGCCGGTCGTAAAAACAATTAGCCAAAACTATTCACCCCAAGTAAGGCAGACCCTGGCTAAAGCTGGGAAATGGCCAGGAAGAAGAAGAGAGCAGTAGCTCAATATATAGATATATTCATATGAAATTGAATAATTTTTTTTAAGTTATACTAAGTATGTTAATCAATATATATGTACATATCAATGTAATACATAGTATTCTCACCTGTCTTCGTCTCTCGCTTGTCGCTCACTGTTAGTTGAGAGTGACTTCTCCGAGGCTCGCCCCGCTTGAGACCGTACGTATGTATCCACTTCTTTCTTTGGAGGTTTTCCCATTCTGTTTAATTTAATATATAGAGAAAATATATTAATTATCAAATCATTAAATTTGTATTAAATATTCTTATATTTGAAAACAACTATGTAATAAATTAAAATATCCCTTATAATTGTCATCCCTACAAATATTATAAATGAGACAGTAACTCTGTCTGTTACGCTTTCACGCCTACACGACTGAACTGATTTTAATGAAATTTGGTACAGACAGAGTTGACCTTGAGAAAGAACATAGGATAGTTTTTATCTCAGACTTTCGAAAGGTTCTCTTGGAAACGCGATATAACCGAACTCTACGTCATGCTGCGGGCGGAAAGCTAGTATATTTTATATTACATACATTAATGGTCAAATTCCTTATATTTTTTTGGTCAATAATATATATTGTACCTGAACATGGTTGATAGTGATTTCAGTAGCGATGGTTTCTTCAGAGACAGTGAGGACTGTTGAGGTGAACCTCGGAACATGGTTTCCGGGGCTGTGTTGTCGTCCGTCAACCAATGCTTTAGAGCTGATTATAATATACAAAATAATTTAATACAAATAAAAATATAGAGTATCATCTTCTTGAAATAAAACAAAATCCCAAAGTTGGCTTCACTTTTGACCTATTACCTTATAACCCAATCGCTTATAAAGCAATCATTTATATCCCACTCATTTAAAACCCATTCGCCTATGACACATTCACCTAATATTATTTATGTATTTTATAAAATTAATACAAAATAAATGCAATATTTTTTTATTTATCCTACTAATATTATAATTGCGAAAGTTTGTGAGTGTGTGTGTATGTTTGTTACTTCTTCACGCTCAAACGGCTGAACCGATTTTGATAAAATCTTGTTTACAGGAAGCTGAAGTCCAGGAATAACACATAGGCTACTTTACATCCCGGAAATCCGCGGGTAACAAAGCGGGGCGCAGATAGTTTTCTATAATACATATATAACAACTTACGAGGATGAGCTCGTGAGTATATCGGTTCGTTTCTGCCGGGGTTCCTCTGCGTCTCCTGGATCGCTGTCTGTAGAGATTCTAAACTGGACGACTTTCGCATGCCGAGGGACGGACCGACTTGAAGTGCTGGAAGTTTCATAAAATAATGTTTGAAGTATACTTGAAGCGGCTTCATAATGATAATTGAAGAGTACACAATGATATTCAATATTAACTTGCTTTACTACAAATTTTTTCTATGCTATTTAGTATTTATGTATAATTTTTTGATGTTCTCTTCTAAATTTGATGACCACATTATCCCTACTAATATTATAAATGCGAAAGTAACTCTGTCTGTCTGTCTGTCTGTCTGTCTGTCTGTCTGTCTGCTACGCTTTCACGCCTAAACCACTGAACTGATTTTAATGAAATTCGGTACAGAGATAGAGTTGACCTTGAGAAAGAACATAGGATAGTTTTTATCCCAGACTTTTGAAAGGTTCTCTTGGAAACGCGATATAACTTAACTCCACACAGGCGAAGTTGCGGGCGGAAAGCTAGTCATATATATATATATATATATATATATATATATATATATATATATAAAAGTGTCATAAAAAAATTACTTTTGCTTTGTTTTTGTAAATTTACTAACCAATTTATTTATTAAGTTTAATTTCTAATGTACTAACACTATATGGATCTATGTAATATGGTCTGAAATAAATTATTATTATTATTATATGTGTATAATGTATATGTCTTACCATGTATAGCTTTATTTTCCTTGATCTTCCTATAAGTCCCGGTCGTCTTAGCGTCCATGGCCGCGTGTCTCTTCTCCGACATAGACCGCCTCCCGACTGCGTCTCTACTGAACGCTCCACTCTCACTGCCGGATTCACCCGCACTGCCTCTGATATCATAAATATATTATGAATATAATAAACTTATAATATGTTTAAATTATGGTCCATTATGGAATAATAGCTGTGAGTTGATAATTGTGATATAAAGGAATGAAAATGTTTGTTGTAATAATTTTGAGAACTATTTTTGGAGAACAAAATAAAAATTACTAGTAACTTGTAGCATAAGCTTTGTTATTTTAGCGAATTAAATAAGGTAAGGAATTATATTTTTATGTAAGTTTGTCTATGGTTGGAAGATAATATGATTATATTACAGTTCTAATACCTGTTAGTTCCATAGTCCTCCTCTATAATGACATTATGGTGTGCTGGCGGTGATCTCGTCATATGCACATGTCCCATATTACTTCTATAGTGATGTCCATTGATAGTCGGTTCCTGTGTCGCCATATAATAACTCTCATTCCTCAAACCGGTTAATCTATCGATGACCGGATTCCATCCATCAAGTCTACTCCATTCAAAGCTATCTCTCTTACTATCATGGGGTATTGTATCTTTGTCTCTTTCTAAATAACCTTTGCTGTCATCTGATTGGTTGGAAATCCAACTATTATTGTTTATTGTGACTATTGAAGCGTGTTTCTTACTCCCGCGCAGATTTTCCTTTGAATCCGATTTGTTCTGATCGTCTATCGGTTTGTTTTCTTTGTCGTGTGCTGTGTATATGACTGTGTTGTAGTTCTGTGAGTTGCTGTTGTCGTTGGAATTGGTTGAGTCATTACCGTTGGGAGGCGTATCGTCCTTCCATCTAGCGAGACTGTCCATACTATCTGTAAAATTAATAAGAATAATTTACATTTATATATTATGTACTGTGAAGAACACTTTTATTGTTATTGATGTCTTTTAATTTAAATGATACTTCAAATGACTTTATATGCCGCTAAGCCATGGATTTCCAAGTAACCACAGCAAAATTTGAATCCAAAAATGCTAAAAACTAATTGACATGACAAAAAATGGGAAAATTCATAGGAAGTAGAAGAAAAATTTTTGGCAAACTTAATTGAGATTTAGTTTTTAGTTGGATAAGTTATATTAATGAGTTACCAGTTCTTCTAGCTATGGTGAGTGAAATGCTTCCTCTGACATGTGGCCGTGCGTGTAACAACGCTCGTCTTAAAGTCTCCATAGCCTCTGCATTAGACTGACCCACTAGTGACACGCCGTTCACACTCAACAACTGGTCATTAGTATGCAACCTGACCCAAAAAACACATACTATTAACTCAAATACTCATATATACGTAATACTTATATGTAAAATTATTATGTATTATTAGTTTTTTTTAATACAGTGCATGCTGATTTAGCCTATAATTGTAGTGTACTTTATAACATATTCTATATTGTAAAACTTTTAATGTTAAAAAAATTTTGATCATTGTACATTATTTTGGCTTACTATGAAATAAATAAATAATTAAATAGTGCCTTTTTATTATAGTAATATTTAAAAAAAGTTAATCTTTTTGATATTCCCTATTAATAATTACCTTCCATCCCTTGACGCAGCACCGCCGTTTAGAACAGATTTAATGAAAATACCAAGGTCATGAGGCTCGGGACCCACGGTGACCTTACCTTTCACGCTGATACCTAAACCAGCCTTCTCAGAATCATGAACAGGTACATCCAGCCTTAGAATAAGACGATTACGAAGACCTAATAACTGAAAAAATAAAAAACACATTATACTATTAAATTTAGTTAAAATGTAGAAGAAAAAAGTAAGTAGTAGTTTTTATAGACGTACAGAATTGGAAGAACTATTGAGAATATCCTGTAGAGCTGTATCTACAGGGTGTTCCTTAAGAAGATCGTCTTTGGAAGAACTTTTCGGTATCCGACCTCTGGTGGAGCCGTTATTATTATTGATCGCATTCACTATACTTGATACTCGACCGCCGTCTGACTTAGCTTCTATGGGCTTTTGTATAGGTGTAGCACCGACTGGCTTTTCAGTGTACTTTGTAGGGCTCTGTTGCGGTTCTACCCTCTGGAATTATATGATATATTAATAAATAAATTGATAGATAGAAAGCTTTGTTTAATAATATAATTTGATTCAATTTTCAATATCAATAAGAGGAAATATTTATTAAAATATTTTTTTCATGTTTATGGTCTGGTTTGAGTTATTAAAAGTATGTAGCTAACTAGCATTTTATATCATATACTATGGACTTCTTTGTCACTGTTGATTAAGAATATGATTAATTTTTATTTTATATATAATATATAATACCTGAGTTCTTTGTGTGAGCGCACGTTCAACAACTATCTCAACAGCGGCGTCTGTGGGAGTGTTTCTAAGGAGTGTAACCAGTTGCTGCTGAGTCCGCCCGGCCGCCGGTACACCGCACACAGACACTAGACGGTCACCGGCACGAAGACGACCGTCTGACACAGCCGCTCCCTACACACATACATATTAATAGACCAAAACTAATTGGACACATGATAAGGGTACAGATAGAATTGTTACGGAGATCCAATAATAATTATCAACAATGCCGTAACTAGGGCGGTGCCGACAGTGTCCAGGCCCAGGGCGCAGACTCTGGAGGAGAGCAGAAATGACCAGACTAGTATCTAGTATTATGTCATGCATGGTAGCTATATACTTATATACTTTGTTACTTTGGTAAACAATAAATAAATAGATTTATTTGTATGCACATTTGTCCATTTTATTTTCAGAGCCAGGTTAGAGCATTATTCAGTGGCGCAGTTTTGAAAGCTCACACCGGGTGCATAAAAGCCTAGTTACAGCACTGATTGTCAAAGTTCTATTACACTGGATTTCTGTACTAAAGTCATGAATAAGCCAAAGTATTATCTTTTACAAACATGATGAAATTTTACTCATGTTTAATAAGAGTTCAATAAACTCTCAAACAAGACTATTAAGTGAAACTTCCAGTTAGTTTTCCTAATACATTGTAAGAAAATTTAGTTTTCATAGGCCATACCTTAGGTAATATGTTCTTTATATATATAGGGCAGTGTCCACCGGTGGGGTTGTCTCTGGTGGTGATAGTGAATCCCAGGCCTTTCTCACCCTTGACAAGAGTCACCGACACGGTCTGAGTAGCGGCCGGCTTGTTCGGACTCACTGGAACTTCCATACCAGTAATCGCTCGTTCACTGTTACCTTTAAATAACGGAAGGTATAATTAATTATGGTTTAAAGCCATTATTTACAATTCTAGGAAGTCTTTAGTAGTTTGCATAATTAATTAAGTCAGCGATGATCCTAAAACCGGTTATACACTGGTAGTTAACTGGTTTAATTTAAATTTAGATTGGACTAGTTAATTAATATTTTTTATTGATCTTTTGGTTAATAATAAATATTCAGACATAGTTATATTTATAATAGTGGAACTATGCTGTATGATATATTAATGTAATTAATTATTTAATAATTTATATAAATCTATGAAGTATTTAAGCATTTCATGTATGCATAAAATAATGTTGTCTCAATGATAATTATATATTTATCAAGTCATATAATAATATTGTTGTGATACCTTCAGGTAATAAATCCAATGTCCGTTCTTGTACAGGATGTACACTGGCCACATTGTTCACTCCGGACACCCATCTTAACATGTCTTCTACTCTGTGGACATAATATACTTTACATAATATCAATAATATTATAAAATATATTTTCCATATTAGAATTTGTTTTAACAAGTGAGGATAGATAATTTTAGGGGTTTACAAGTCATCAATTTTTATATAATTTTTTTCCTCTTTCAATAAAATAAACAACCTATTGATATATTGTTTGGATACAATTAAATAAATGAAAATATCTTACTTATACAGGGTGACTGGTGAATTACTATCGATATTTGAGGACGTGATATTTGACGATCATATATGACAAAATAAAAATTAATATAACATAAATATTAATAAACTTCTAAGTAAAGTTAACCAAAAGTTGTGTAATTAATTACGCATCGTATGAACACCCTACAGATTAGGTATACACACACACTCACACATACGCGGCGGGGGCGTGGTTTTGTATCAGCACGCCGCCACACGCGTCCACACTTGGAACACTTGGAACGTATCAACACTTTATTTATTTATACGGAAATTTTGTCAAAAATTAAGTACCTATTTTTTTTACATAATTCGAATGAGAATCATGTACCGAGTATGCTCCTTAAATATTGATAGTAATTCACCAGTCACCCTGTATAGTTATTACAAAATATTATTATTTCATCCATATATAACAATCTCTATTCTTTACATAAAGATGTTGCTAAAATAAATATTATAATTTTTCAAAATTTCTATCATCTGTCTGTTTGTTTTGATTTATCTATAGAATATTTTTTCATATTTTTTTTTGTCAAAAATCAAAATTGTTTTCTTTCTATTACACTAAATATAAATAATATTGAGTCAAGTTTTGCAATGAAGAATTTATCAAATATTTTATGATACCTATGGTTTTGATCGTTAACTGGCGTGTCTTGACCCAAGGGTTCTTTTCTCGCATCTCGAGGGAGACTCTTGCTGCCATATATTTGGACCCGTTCTGCAGCATCTAACCATACCCCACTCCTGTAATAATTAATTTTAATAGCATTTAATTAACTAAGCAATTTTTAATGGTGAATCCTTACAGTAATAAGTCTAAACCTTAATCTTTAATCATTGCGATTATCAAGCCTATGTAATTAATTTATGAAACGTGTTAAATGTCTTATATAATGTGTGTATTGTGAACATGACATTATTTCTGTTCGACCAAAAAAGGCTTAGTAATATCAAATTTCGATAAAGTTTTTCAAATTCAACAAGTGAAAAATTCATTCCAACTGTGAACTGAGTTCATTGCCAAAAGCCATGGGATTCCATCAAAACGATTATGTGTTTAATATTGAGAATACAATTACAGTTTATAGTTTTTCATTCATAAATCTTTGCATATGATAATATCAAAATAGGAATAAAAGGAATACCTGAAGGTTCTCATATGCAGTGTGACAATTCAAAGTTTTTATTAATTTTTGACACACATTCCCAATTTAACTGATGATATAGTTTCTTTTTTGGACATACAATATTTATATTTCAATATAATATAGTAATACTATCAGATCGGAAGTGGGTTTTAAGGCGAACCAGTAATGATTTATGTTAAGGACAGCATACATTATACAGGATGACTGGTGAATTACTATCAATATTTAAGGAGAATACTCGGTACATGATTCTCATTCGAATTAGGTAAAAAAATAGGTCCTTCATTTTTGACCAAATTTCCGTATAAATAAATAAAGTGTGGACACGTTCCAAGTGTTCCAAGTGTGGACGCGTGCGTGCGTGCGTTGGTTAACTTTACTTAGAAGTTTATTAATATTTATGTTATATTAATTTTTATTATGTCATATATGATCGTCAAATATCACGTCCTCAAATATCGATAGTAATTCACCAGTCACCCTGTATATGTATATAATACATATGTATAAAGGGTCACTCACCCCGGTCCAGAGAACTGCATAGACAATCGATTCGTCTGTCTCTGGAAGTGTCCGTGTTTGTCTGGACTGACCTCTGGAGGTATTTTGTGTTGACCTCGACTACTGTCCTCACGACATACTACCGCCGCTGACCATCTCTTGGTTTGATCTGATACCTGGAATTGATTTGATGATGAATTGTCATGTGAACTGATTTCTTTCCATATTTTTGAATTAACTTTTTATGGAAGGGTCAACAGCTTCGTAACGTAACGTAACGTAACGGCGTAACATGCGGCAAGTGTTTCGAGTAATAATTAATTTATATATGAATAGATTATCAATTTATTGTATATAATATTTAAGTAATAATCTAAACTACATATTTATAACTTACACAATTTCTATATTAAATAGTTTTGACTTCTGTCGAGCATCCCGAAACGTACAAATTTGTTTTCAAAGTAAAGGCTCTTGATACAAATACTTAACTATCTTACCTATCTACCAGTGTAAGTACTTTCAAAAACGGCTCAGTAGTTTCAGAGATTAGCAACAAATAAATAAAAAGTCATTACGAAAAAAATCAAGATCTATTTTATATAATTTTAAATACTGTCCTTTCATATTAGCGTCTGTTTCGATATTAAACGGTAACTTTCTTTCCACACCAACTGGGGCATTGAATGTATATGTTATATAAATAAACGCGTTAAAGTTTAACAACCTGTGTTTGAGGAGGTAAGGTATCTTGATGCAGGGTTGGCTCGCTTCCTCGTCGGACCTGCAGACCGTTGGCGATGTCGAGGTCTGCTGCACCGACCTCCACGCACGAGTCGGTGTTGGGGACCCTCATACTGCCGCCGACACCGCCTCCGCCCTGATCGGAAAAATACACTCATAATCAATTCAGTCTAAGAGACAATCTCATACATTTATTAGGTTGTACTATTTCAGATAAGGATGACATATTATAAATTTATACCGTCCTAAAGTAAAGGGTAGATGTTAAGCACGTACTAGCCATCCTAATGTAAGCTGAATAATAGTGTCCGCTTCTACCCATTTCCACATCTCAAGTGTTATCTCGACAACCATTTATGTTCCGTTAAGCGATCTCAGATTATAGTATAGATTATGGATACCGTAACAACACAATCACAGCTGAAGTGGATGTAATGCTAGCTGCGGTCAGTTACCACAATCAACTGAGCTTACAGTTTTGAGACCTTTAGTGGAAGTTTGTTTGAGCTACGTGAGGTTTCATGATTGCCTATTAGTTCATGTTAAGCAATATTCATTATTAATGCGAAAAATATATACAATAGAATATGTTAATGCGTCTTTAAGTCACATATACGTTACCGGCTTCGAATTTAATGCACCAATTTAAAAAAATCAGACACTAACGCATAGATTTTTGTCAGTTCTATACTATACAAGAATACAAAATATGTATATAGAAATAATAAAAATTACGTTAGCTTCGATAAAGTATAAGTATTCAATACCTGTCACAAATACTGTTAATATTATAAAATCTTATTAACATATTACTAGTATGTTATCTGGTAAACACCCACAATGAGTTTTTGTTACACGACCGTAATACAGTAAGCATGCAGGCGTTAAAAATGATAACATTGTCGAGGTAAAAAATAGTTGGAAACAGCTCTTGTTTTATCTATATTTATATGAATATGCTCTATAACTGTATATATATATTTTTAATTAAGTACTTTGAATCGTATCTCACCCATTTCGAAGATTTCAAGCACAGGCAGGAGGAAAAACTTTGACCCATATTGATGTAACTTGTAATTAATCGTTTTTTACGTGAAGACATTACGGTTAACGAAATTATAACACTCTTTGTTGAAACTTGTAAAGAAATCCGCAAACAGGTCACGACAAGTCGTAAAAGTTTTATACTTGCTATATTCTACTTCCCGCGTAAAAAAAAAACATTAAAACACTCACATCCAGAACCATACAGCCAATGTACAACCAGAATTTATATTTTTTAATAAAAAATTATTATATTTATAAATACATAAAAATAATAAAATAAAAATAATTGTAGTTTAAAATTAACATGCAATTTGAATTTAATGTTTTTATTTTTTCGAATGTGCACAGTGTATTCAGCCAATGTCATTTATAAAATCACTTACCCTAAACATGTCAGGTGAGGCGGTGCCGGCAGACGAGCCACTAGCGCCATCTGCCTGGGCCGCGCGGGGGTGACTTTGGTTGGTGCACTCGGCGGTGAGGGTCTCGCGATCATCAGCTACATCGCGGACCTTATCATCTGGGTCTAGGATCCCTCCAGAGCTGGCACGAAGAGCTCTCACTCCAACCCATGTCTCTGGTCCCTGGAAATTAATTAACAGTTATTTGTACATATGTCACTATCGATTTTAAATAAATAATTGATATACTTGATACATTTCAATGACCAGACATTTTTTTTAATGACAGTTTCTAATTTATCTAGAGAATTTTATCGAAACCGCTAAAATATACCTATATACGTTTGTTACCTTTATATATAAGTCAAATCTTGAATACTTTTTACAATTTATTTAATTGATTATTATTTAAAACGCAACAATCTTAGAATTTCACCCGAAATAGCAAGATTTTACTGTAACTGTATAAACGTGTGAGAGGTGACATTGTATGCTGGTTTGTTCTATTTTTATTTCGCTATTTAAAGGAATTAATGAAGGTAGTTTACAACAACATGAATGTTCCCACGCAGTATTTGCGCCTTTCAATCTATTCAGTCTTGTGAATGCTGTGCTCCAATGTTATGTATAATGTATACCTAAGTGTTTTGTCTGATGGTACAAGTCTTTATGTGTATGTCAGCCGAGCGGTCCACAATCAAATACTCACAATGAATGTTCGAACATTACCTTCAACGCAAAAACGAGTATGCGAGCATTGATCCTTTTTTTTATTTTTGGAATACTGTTTTTTGACCGGTATCATTCCGATGAACGCAGCCTAAAGGTACTTTATTTATCGCTGGCCGATAAATATTAAACAATATTTTAAAAGCCTAGAATGCACTATTCGAAATTCAAATCGAACGAATTGCGCAATACAATGTCCGTTTTCGAAAGTGCAAATAGTTTTTATATTAGCATAGCAAATGTTGCGTAAATGGATCGTATATAATTGAACAGTAAGATCATCAGTACCGTACCCATGTAACTGTTCTCTTTTCGCGTTCCTTGACGACTAGACGGGCTCGTTTCTTCAAACGAGGCGGAGGTACCGGTGCCACCTCACACTCATCCATCTCTAGTTGACAAAGTTAACATTTTCACACGCAAATAAAACTCACAATCCCTCAACACTTATATCGATTTCACTTGACTTTGTTAGAAAAGTTGTGAAACGAATTTCAGTTTTGCGATTTACGTTTATTGGTATAATACGATTTCTATGTTTAAACGCACTTTGATTAATAAAAGTATGCGTTGTGTCTTAATTATAGTTATGAAAGCACTGGCTGTTGAACATTTTGAGTGGCTCTCCCAGGTCAACGGTGCGGATGAAGCCTTGACCTTCGCGCGCCGTCGACCAAACACGGCCTCTAGCATGCACCAGATGCTACATCTCATTAAGGTTCGCGTGATTCAGTAGGAATCCGATTATGTTGAGAGAAAATATCTTTATATAAATAACCTGCTTTAATAACAAACAATCGATATCAAAATCCAAAAAAGAGATAATAAATGCCTAACTTATAATGTTATAATAGCAAAAGAAATTGCATTAAGAGAAAAACGTGAAGATGCGCTCTAAGAAATGAAAACGCTAGCGGTATTAAAGATTCCACGCGTCACACAATGTATGCTTTCAAAGATTTAATCTCGTGAGGACTTCTGTGTTACTTTATTATTATGAAATTATGAATTATAAATAATATAAAGTTTTCGTTCATCTATTGTTATTTAAGGATTTCTTGTCACGTAATCCGTTTGTTTGATAAGACACTGATTATCTCGTCTACCAATTTGTCGAAGGCCATTCTTGGAAACGGCGGAAATGCATTCGTTTAAGGCTTCGATACACGCGCCGAATGATAAGTTCGTGCGTCAATGATATCCTAATTTAATGTAACTAAATAAAAATATATTAAATTTAAATTAAGATCAAATTAAACGAACTATTGATGACAAATTTCACGATTTCGAAATATGTGTGTCGCAGGCTTATGAGGATTAACTATAGTCCTATAAGACTAAGTATATGAAATATTAATACTTCAAGGTAATACACGAAATACCTATGCTAATACCAGTAACTCACACTTAACACAAATTGCAACGTCTTCTGTATATTTTTGCAACGTTGAGAAATACTTTTTTGGATTTCACCGACATGTTTTAAACAACTGAATTATAAAAATTAATAAGATAAATTGAGTGTATTTTTTATAATGTGATATAAAAACTTTTTCCGCTTTCATAATTCATAACTGATTTCTTCGATATTAATAAAGTAAAGCTTGAGGTATTTTTAATAATATTATATATATTAGTATTTTTCGTTTTAAATTATATTATGTACACTGGCACTGTAGTAAATAGAGCGTGTCTCACAGACAGTCGCGTCGTGCCGCGGCGTAAACACTACTGATTAGTGAAGGCAACCAAAGATCGCAAAACACACAATTACTTCAAATAAAACCGAGAAGGAATCAGATTAACGTTATTTAATGAAATTATTAGTATTTTTTATTCAATACTATTTGTGAATTATATTCAAATATAAAAAATAAACAGTTTTTTGTTTTAACACTTAATAAAGGCTAGTTTATTTAGATAAATCGAGATTAGCATATCAAAAGTACTATTAACTGGGATTCAGTAATTGAGTGCAACTAGGTTACATTTAATATAAATACATTTATTTAGACCTAACAATGGACCATTCGCAGTGTGCAGATTCATTTATAACGTTATTTACATAAAAAACGCAAAATAGTCACGCTTTAATGCTTTACAGGTACGTTTTGTTAAAACCTAATAAAAAGGCATTTTGTTATGCTATACTTAATGTTATTTTAATTTATATATTTAGACAGATCTACCCTTAGTACGAGTATAGTAACATACACACAGTTTTATCGAATTTCGTATATAAGCTTGTATAGAGAAAACTATATGAAAGTAATTTCAATTTTATCAACAATCGATGATCGAGTTTTATGATAAGCGAAAGAAAACCTTAAAACTATGTATGTATTAGAGTTAATATTAGAAATTATTTTAAATAGTATACATAAAAATATATATGTGGTAATATTATACAACGTACTGTCATGAGGTCAACGACCTCAGCGTATGAATATTAAGTTCGTCCCTAATCGCGCTCAAAACGTATGACAGACGGACAAGTAAAAGAAATAATACACAACCTACTTTAATATGAGTCATAACTCAAAACCTGTTTGGATATATTCTCATGTAGAATATTAAGCAAATAAAACATCAATAAGCTATCAAGCATATAATTATCTCACAAAATTATGATACCGATTAAAAATGAGAGGTGTGAAGAGGTAATAAAATGTATATATTTAAAAATATATTTAAGTTTATTTAAAAAAAATTGTCTACACTTATAAATTTGTTTGATTAATTTCTTTAATTCCATATAATTTAAGTAATAAATTTCTGATTGTTTTTAGCAATATCACCATTTAGCCTAGCTATTGTTCACGATTTTATGTGATTTTGTGAGCATAATTAGATATATGATATTATTATTACCCAGACAATTAAATTATAAAAAATCCAAAAGACTGTCAAGAAACTATAAAGTACTGCAAAAGAAACCTAATAACGTTAAACCTTAATAAGAAATGCAAACCAAAATGCATTTATGTGGTGAGTGTAGGAAGTAATTTCCTTAGCGGTCATTACGTGCATATCCTGGGAGTTAACTCGGGACTACAAGGAGTGCCTAAGTGTTTGGACTCATAGAAGAAACATTTCTTTAATAAAAGGGAAAAATTTCTTATACAGTCTTTGGAATTATGTATATACAAATAATGTAATGAGTTTTGTTCGAGATGCAGTCTTATTAAAAAAGAAAGGCTCGTAAATCACGTTAAATGCTCTAATATCTTTAATATTATAACTTACAAAACATGCTGTTGTTAAATTAAACTTAAAAAGATTTCATTAAGATCGTTCAAATAATTTATATATAAAAAGTGGTGTAAAGTAAATTACAGAAGAAATCCTTGATGGCAAAAAGAAAGACAAATCAGGTCAGGTTATTCATAATAGGAAGATTATAGAATTGTTTTAATAATAGTAAAATTATAACATAGAATAAATTTGCATTTGTCTAAGTACATTCAAGAATTGTATGTCAAGGTCTCCTGTAAGCGGTGAGTGGTGAATAAGTGTGATTTATTTATTATACATACATATATGTATATACAAAGATTGTGGACCACTGACGTTACTTAAAATACGCATATGATTATTCTAAGGTAATAAATAGAACACAATTTGATTTGAAATTAAATTGATAATGACAAAAGAAATATTCCATATACATTGAAAATAAATAACATTAAATAAAAATGTTTGTACCATTTGTTTGTCTGTTTGAAGCTTTTTGTAGATTTAAAACTAAGTATGCGAGCCAAAAACCATGGTTAGGATTTTGAGAATATGTATAAAATATTATAATATATAAAGTAACTACTTAATACAGAAATAGCACACACGTAGGCTATAACATTTTTTTTATTACCTAAACTAGCAAAACACAAAAGTATAACACGCATATATGTATGTATAGTATTGAAGGCTGTTGAAAAGTAATTACAACCATATGATATAATAGAATTCAACATTGTGTCCGTATAATATTATCCGAATATAATCTCACTGAATTGTCCAAAGTCCAAATACATATAATATACATACATATGTAAAATATGATTAATAACATATCTACATACAGAACTTTAGTAGCAAAATACATTTAACAAACACCTATTAAAATGTGTTTATTATAAATGTAACACCACTGTTATTTTTAAGCACATACAGAGTTTTAAAACTCGTTTTTTTTTGTGCCAGAATTGAGCTTCCATACTCAACATACGTGAATGTGTTGAGTTGTCAGTAATTAAAAAAAACAAGGACGTCTTGTAAGTCGATATTTGCATTAGTAATTGTTAAATTACCAATAGATCATTTGAGATGTAGGAAAGTGGATAGAAGTGCACAGAAGATTAAAATAGGAATGCAAATTCAATCTCTATTACCAATTATCAATATGTAATAACCTTTAATCTTTGAGTTCATATTTTAGATAAAATACATATGTACCATCAACATTTATTATTATTATTAGGACACGAAAGTCATGCGACTTTCAGTAGAAAACATGGTAAATGTCATTAAAACTAATTTTACTTTGTTATCAACGTTATCACATCCAAATATTTGTCAAGGTGTGAACATTATCACATTCCATGTATGTATCAGTTGTACAAGCTCTGTATTAATAGAAGGTCTCGGTTCATTTCAGTTAATTATTTGACGAGAAAGACAATTACGTACTAGACGAGATCATTGAATTCAAGGTTTTCTAAAACAATAGACGTGAAAACAAAGACAAATATCAATCAATACAAAGTAACGTACAAATTTATTATCGATTCCAAATAATGAGTTTATTTAGTTAATCCGTTTGAGCTTCTTAATTCTAATGTATTAAGCCTCTTGAGATTCCCTTAGCCGTGGCTCATGAAAGGTCTTTGACCGTGTTGCGTGTGTGTAAGTATCGTACCATCGACAAGGCAATAGCACCTACCGTGTTGACTTAATTATGTACTTTCTTCCACCACAACAGGAACCGTGAAAGTACAATAATAACGTTTCGTATTAATAAGTCTTTATTTAAACGTCATTAATATTGATAACAATTAATAAAGAAAGAAAGATGTATGTAATTTATAGAATAATGGATAATAAATCGTCTTTAAATGCATACCGAATAAGTTGATTACGTACCAAATGGAAAATAAATTGGGTAGAAAAGAATTAAAAATTACTTGCTTATATTTAAACAGAATGATTGTTTTATAAATCTCATCATATATTTTTACGTAAGATATTACGAAAACTATCTCATAAATCTCTTTTTACAGACGTGTTTAAAATATTGAATGTTTACCTATATTTTATTTTATGTGTTTGTGCTAAATATATATCTATTTATTATTATTACTTGGTTTAAAAGTTAAATTTAACTTCTCACCTTTTCATTGACCTTCGGTAATAAGTTCCTTTGTAATTTTTGCACGGGATACGTTTGTCTCCATCCGAACAGTCGCACTAACTTGTCAGCCACGTCTTCACAACGTGGAGTGTCTTTCATTTTATTATTTATTACTAAAAATCCCTAAAATTTATAGTCACCATCACTTCAATGTATACACTGTTTCTTTTATGTAATACCATTTAGTAATGTCGCGATAAGTCAGCACGAAAAGCGCTAAATGAATGACAAACGCATTCTCTTTAGCCTTGAGTACGTTATCTAAGTGTTATCTCGACGACACTCCTACTTAATATTGTAATTAACAGGCTTTTTAGGCTGTCTCAAATCAAACGATAGGCGTGCTTTCGAAATAATATTATATTTCGCTTTTTTAAAGCTGTAATCACGAAAATCTACAAGAAAATGTAATAGTGTTTCTCAAGAAGGCAACAACAATCATATCTTTATAATCTGTCTGGGACCTAACAAATTTTAGTTTGTTTATAAAACGTAATATTGATATTATTTTGATTAAATATAATATATAGTATTTTAGGTATTATATATTCCCCGCATTCATTATAAACCTATTAGTAGAGCGTTTTTAACTGTTGTTCTCATTTTTTAAAAATAAACTGAACTATACATATAGTAACAAAAAAATAGATTAATAGGCGCTTGTCTTAGTAAATTTCTAAGGGCTTATTTATCATAAAATATACTTTATGATTTTTTTATGCAACAATTTCTATTTTATATTCATTAATAGTTAATTAATATATATAAAAATATTAAATCTTTAAACCGCTGAGTCTGGACTCGTGTAATTAACAAAATGCATACATTTCGAGTTCTTAATCACTGGTTAATCTTGCCATTGTTTTGAGACAGTACTTTAATTTATGAATGAATGCGTATTAAGGTACTTATTAAGTACAATTGATTTGAATACTAAATTATATTATTTTCGCTTACGACCTTTCTGTTAGCAACGCCTTCCAGATATTTGAACAATTGACTATAAAATTGTACAATCTGTTACCAAATAATAACTATAGCCATTGTTAGAATATTGTGAAGATAGTGTGGGAGACGAGTTTAATTATTTGATAACAAATGTTTAAATGAAACATAATGAATTTAAATGAACGTTAATGAAATAAAATGAATTCTATTTTCATCTATATCATTTTAAAGAGAATAATTTAAATTGAATACTGATTTAGCTTTCTAAGTTTTGATCTGGGTATGTGGATCACTGGCAGCTATTATGTTAGCGACTCTTCACAACAATGAACCATTGTGGCAACAAAAGATCTCATTACTATCTATTGACAAGTCCATCACGCCTATATGTACATTGTACATACTCGGGTGCGCACTTGATCGTTATTTCATTTATATCTACATATACTGTAACTAGAGCCTAACAATGATATACATTATATGAAAAATTATTAACGTTTCTTTTCACATACATTTTAATATAAATTATGCTACAACCACGTGTACGATTGACGAACAAAAAAGATACATTTATATGAGACAAATAACTCTTTTCTCTGTTTAGAAAGCAGGTAATTCTATAATAACCTTACCCAAAAGGGGAGAAAGCAAGAAGTAAAATAAAACGGCTAGCACCTATCGCTTGATTTGATCTAGCAAATATGTAATTACATATTATTGCATTATCCATTATAATACAAGGGGCGTCGTACTTGCGTGTAGTCACGCCACACTGATTCTTCAGGAAAAAAACACTAAGCAAAATCAAGTTCGCTTTTTGTTTATTTTGTACTCAGCAAATGATGTACAGCTCACCAATTATTTTGAACACGAAACAAATGAATTACTCTAAGTATGTTTTAAGACACTATCATTACTCTTCATAACCTCATTACATTCATATTATTTCAAATTGTCTCTTTCATTTCGCACTATCCAAACTAAAAACCTTCACTATTGCGGCAAGCAAAGGCCTGTGCAACTTTTGTTCGGATACCTAAGTAATATGGTCGTACAAGCGACAGTGCCTTCAGTCACTGCCACGTATAAATAGCAATCGATCACACTTGAACACTCAACCCTTGAGACAGGTCTTGTTTTAATAAAAACGTATGGAATTACGTGGGTTTTTGTTAAGGTTATAATCACATAAAACAGCGAAGGTAAACAAACAAGAGGCTGCGCGGCGGCGACGGGCGACTGGCTCTGTTTTCTGCGCGTGCGCCGGTCGCGTCAGTATCTGGGGGGGAAGGGGGCCAGCCACCGGTGGATCACCTCCGCTCCCCCCAGAGGTGTCCATTACCCTCGCGTAAACAACCAACATAACCTGAGACACTGAGAACATTATAACATGAACCCATGTATTGTTCAGCCTCATCATACACTGCGATGGTTTATGGGAATCAGTACAATGGCTTTTAGCGTTAATTTCCTTTGAAATCAAATAGAAATCTGTGTTCTACAATTATCCTCAATAAATTGTACATTTTCTAAAAATGTAAGGATAAAACAGGATACCGACTCGTGTTGTGTATCGAGCCGCGACGGAAGCATCCGGTGTAACGCTCGCACCCCGGGGTGCCCTGACCTGATCCAGTTCAGTCCAAGGACAACTAACTTTCCAAATTGAAAAGGGCTCGTATAGATGAAGCGTCCGATATCTTTACGTTGACTTTTGTTTCTATATATTTCATTGGAGTACTACGTACTTGTTTGTTGGTACTATATAATGTTCTGTAACAGAATATAAATTTCATCTATAAATGTTTATATGCTTCTTAAAACTTTAGTCAAATATCGTCGTACAAAATATAGAGTAAAACTATATATAGTATTTATTATTATTAAAACTTATTAATTTATAGGTATTTTCGCATATTTTAACAAAATAAGATCAGTTTTACGAGCGCCATCTGTGTTGCTGTTAATGTACTTTCAAGAAAACTCGTTCATTAACAGTATCAACTGAGATAAGATTTACAAATCACATATAAATTACTCTTTAACATTTCAATATTATACACTGTGCTTGTTCCAATATTATTAAAATTACGTACAAAAGCATGTTGTTTCGTTTTTAAATGTTTCAAGTCAATCATTCTAACGTATTAAACAACCGCAAGATGTCCCTGTTAATAAAAATCAAATATTTTTAATACGTCACCCACAAAATTATCATAGAATTATTGTAGATTATCAAAATACATTTGACATAAGCTTTAAAAACTATAATAATTTTTTAGCGTAATATTTGTTTTTTTTTTTAATCATTACACACGATATTTTAATGATTACATGTTTAATTAATAATTTAAAAAAAGTCCTTTACAAATTAGGTATTACAATTCTGACATTTCAATAATACCCACAAAAACAGACAGCCTTTAGAGGTTTGCCCGACATAAGATCGAGACGAGACCCTCTCAATAAATTTATCAACTTCAAAACATGCACATGTTATGTTTTAAGTACATTAGACGTTTTGAAGTGACGTGGCATAACTGTGGAATTATATGTAATACTCTATAACATTCACAGACATCAAGTACTAGAATTATTATTAATGAAGTTTTCGTACAATAAACTATCAAATGTGGTGTAAACTATGATTTTTTTTAATACGAACTAGATAATAAATAACCTGTACAATTTCATGATGCAATCTTTGATAACTTTCCCAGTGACTATAGTTAGTGTGGTTATGTCCATAAATCTCAACATGTATCCAAAGCATAGCACAATTAGTTTTTATCATTGTAATTATCAATATACAATTTAAGTACTCTCATTGAGTGTATTGGGAACATACTTAACATGTTGTTATTATCTAATGTTTTACAAAAATATCTACAAATAGTAGGTACATTAAATTTTCATTGCAAATCCCATATAAATAACATAAAAAACTATTTAATTTTATATCATACTCCCGTTCTACATTTCTGTTAAGTAACAACAAGGTATCGTTTATAGCTGAAATTCCTTCGTAAGATGTAATTGTAACTTGGCGTCTGAGTTATCGATTTCTAAGTTATTTTACGCTCACTTGATATTTACATAAATTACTATTCAAGCCTTCTAAACTTGATCCGAATTTGTAACGAGTATTGACCTACATATTATATTTATATATAGGCGACAATATTGAATTAGTCATGATTATATAAAAAGTTAAATAAGTATGTATATATAAGTAAAGTTAAAGTATATACTACGATATATTGACTCTTACTGGAATACATAATTGAAGGAAAACAGTTTTTCTACAATATTGTATGAGTATTAGAAACTTAATTTCCCAACGGAACAATAGATATACATTATGAAAACAAGAACGATATTGGTATTGCTCTGACCTTGATTTTTACCAAGACTTTCATAACATTGAATTAAAAACTTTTCAACAGTATAGGGCAGTACTTCCTTTGAATTCGAACGGCAAAAGTCACAGAACGTAATGCAATTAATGATAGGTATATATGTAGTTGAATTCTATATATATATATATATATATGTTATTAAAATTTTGCAATTTATTTAATACTATTTTAGAAAATAAATATTGACTTTATAATTATGTAAATAGAACCATATTTGTCGTATCTAAGTATTTATAAGGAGTTATAGATGATAAAAATGTAACGCAATCTCCAAAAATAAGGTAAACGACCCCGTTAGAGGCAAACGAGAATAATTTATTGTAGAAGGTGAAAGAACATAAAGTAAATTTAGATCGAAATAGTTTTATAAGTATACAACTTTCCATTTTATGTGTAAGAGTTTGTTAGTCATATATTTCTTTAGACGGCAACATAATGTGATGAAAGGAATAAACAGAAGTAGAATAAATATATACTCAGAACTACTTTGTATGGTAGTAATGAATTTTTAGGGTTCCGTAGACTGTCAAACCGTCGGTCCGTCTATCACACATCCGTATCTCATAAACCGTAATAATAAAACTTGAAATATACGTTTGGAATGAACTTTTGATTAGAAACAATTAAATATATACATATTTAAGTCTAATAAAACATTTTTTTTATTTTGTCTTGTTTATAGAGAGCGATACGGAACCCTGCGTGGAAAGTACGACCCGGGCTTTGCAAATATGTTTCATTCATGCTGGTCTGACAGGAATATTTAATTTGTAATATTTATAGATATCAAATGTCTCTGTTATTGTCAAAATTTGCCTCTAGTAAAATATATGCTTGGGACTGAAATGTTTATCAAGGAATAAATATTAAAGCATAATCCATATTAACAACCCTATATAAATGAAATCACCAGAATAAAAAACCAATAATATAAACCTAGCCGCGAACTGGTTAGAAGTAGTTGCATTTAATCAAGATATTACTTTCATTTGTCGAGCCAACTGGTCGGAAGCGTGTTACTGATGTGCTTTTCGGTTCGCTTGTTTCGTATAAATGAATTACGGGGTGTTCAGCAAAGGATGACGTCCGTGGGAAATGTAACTTCCCCTAAATACGAAATAAAATGTAAATACGTAGAAATTCGCTCGCTCGGCGACGCTGTCAACGCAGAGCTAATAGTTATATGCATTACGAAAAAACGTAGACATCAGACAAACTAAAAAACTCCTTAGACTCACATGAAGCAATATTAGGTAAATAATGCAATAATGATGTAGATAGACTTTAACCCGTTTTCCTTATCGGGCAAAAAAGTGGGTTACAAAACGTTAGTAGATAGCCGATATCAATGATGGCAGCGTATGTATAATATTGAGTCAATGATACCGCTGGTTATTACGAACTTAATGGCGTATAATCTGAAGTGGAGCTCGAGACAATACGTCCAGATTAGATTGTATTACCAGGAAATTTGATGACATTTTAATATGTGGACTGGAGTCATTCCCGACTGTAGTTGTAGGGTGTACAATGCAGGTGAACAATGGAACCGTGAACACGTCCCAGGTACCTGCGTATCACGATATTTAAAATACATACCTCGACGCTTTGTTCCCTTGCCACAGTTTTGTAACAATATATATGCACGTGCATTTGTAACGCCAGACATAACAAGGAAATTGCGAACCAAATAAATTAATAACAAAGCGTAAACAAAGTTATGAAAATTTAAAGCAATACGATACGTTTTATTAGCTACGGAATTTACACGGAAACTAAAACTCAAATGGTTATCCTTAAATTATGTGTGATTTCAGAATTATATGTTAAAAGTTCGGTATATATTGTATTACTTGGAAAGAATGATTCAGAATTACGAGTTACTTAAAATTTATGACTCGTTTAGTACTGCGAGTTGATTATTACAGCAACAAGATATTTTTAATAACATTAACAATTAAACAATTACTCAATTTAATGGACAAAATAACCTTGAGATAATTAATGTATTTATGGCGATATATTTAAAAGCAAGGGAAACATTTGAAACTTCTAGTATACAAAGGAATTGAGAATGATTTTATCTTCCAAGCTTGTGATGGAGGAGAAAAAACACGTGAATTGATTGGGCTAGACGAGTATTTTGTCTCAGGTAGGGCAGCATTCCTTAACCGTCCCGCCGCGACTTAAACGAGGTAATTACTCTCTAGTAGTCTAGTGGATATACCTTGGACGGGTGGCTTGGTGTGGCATGGTGTTTGATAGTATTGATGTGGTCGGTCTTAGATCTTGGTATAGCTTTCTTCAGATATCGTATGCTATCAGCTGTTAAGTATCAAGAACTAAAACAGTGTGCATACTTATTAAAATTAATTATTTTATAATCTTTTCTTCGTAAGTAGAACTTATTGTTACATATAGGAAAGTTTTTGTTTTATTACATAAGAGATTACTAACTTTAAAACCGATTTAACTGAACCTAAGGTATGTGTTAAGTGCTTGATTAAATTATTACTCAACATAAGTATTTATGTTTTGTAATATATGAACTTTAAACAAAAGTGTTTTCCAGTGTAATGTTATAAACTATGACATAATATGTTTTTTATTACTTGGACTTTAGATTATGCTTTTGAGTTTAAAGTTAAAATAAAAATAAGAGCTTATGTTTCTGGGAGAAATTTTAGAAATTATGCGTAGACGATAGCAAAAAGCAACTTTAAAAAGAAAAGGGCAGGAAATAAAAATCAACTTAAGTACTTTAATATCCGTGTCTGGGACGGAATGATACCTGCGTGAGAAATAACAGGTGCAGGTTAAAAAAAAAACAGGTAGATTTGGTAACAGTAGACTTCTTATACTTAATAAACATTCTTATCTTTGCTCCGTTAACTTATAACTCATAGAATTTAACCTTTAATTTTAATATAACT